TTATCTGACACGCATCAGACCTGTCCAGTACCTGGAAGCTGTGGAAAACAAACTTTTTTTACCTAAAACCACAAAATAAGTCAATACCAAAGCTGGCATTTATGCTAGAGAGCTTCCTTGTTCCTTTTTTGTGCAGATTCCTAAACTTCAGAATGATACTTCCAGAATAGTTTTACCTAAAGGTAAATGATTTTGATTAAAAGGATATGAATGATTTGGCCCTGGACAGGTAGCCACAATTACAGCCTGGAAATGAAGGGGATGTGGGACTGGCCCTGTCAGAGGTGACAGCTCCAAAACCAGTCCCACCCACTTGGCAATGGCAATGATCTGCTTCTGGAAGAGCAGAAGCCTTCTCCTCTATTACTCCCTGTTAGGTTTTTTAGCTGGCATTCTCTCTTGTCTGGCCAAGTCAGTTTAGAAGTCTTTGTAAAGTTTATTGAAGCAGAGCAACAACAGACTTGTTAGTTCCAGAAACACTTTCAACTGGTCTTACCAGCAGAAGAAGTGGTTTCAGGTATAAGCTGCTCACGCTGGTATCTGCACTTCTGATCCGATTGTATGGTTGTCATACCGTTTGAATTAAGCTTTTACAGTCACAGATACTTCTCAAAGACTTTACAGAATGTTAAAAAGACATACTTAAGGTCAGCATCTGACAACACAGATGTCACAGTAAATAAAAGTAGGTTCTTGAATGAGTAAGTGATAAAATTGTTTAACACTTAAAATAAGAGAATGCACTAACACATCCTGTATATTCTAACACTTATGCTGACAGGGTCTTTCTCAAGGTGCAGGCTTATGGTGTTTTTGCATTGTGCCATCGTTGGGCAAATCCTTCCCTAGAAAGGTGCTTTCCCTAAAAAGTCAGTTTAGGAGACATCATACCTCTGGCATAAACAGAGTTCTGCATAAAACATGACAGGAACATTATTAAGATCAGAAGAACATTATTAAGATCAGGTAAACCTGTCTAACCACAATCAACAGGCAAGATATTACAGTCATCAACCTGCCTTAATTTTTAATGGAACAGGTATATAGTCCTAAAATAGCAAATGCATTTTGAAAGATAAAGAAATTTTCCTAATTTGCAGATTTACTTTAAGGCACTTCAATTACTATGTTCCACCTGCAGCTAGCAAGAGTACTTGGTTTTCGACAGGGTTGCTTTAAGTCAAGCTACTCTGGAGGGTCTGTGTGTGTTCTAGATGTTCTACAGAATTCTGGTTTTAGGTCTTCATAGGTAGGTGAATAAAGAAAAAATTTTCTTTTGTATTAAAATCTATTTGACAGGGAACTAAATCCTTCAGGTCTTACCCTTGGAGGTATTTGCAAACAAGGCAACTCATACAAAAAAAGGTAAATACTTGGTAACCTATATTCTTCTGCACCTTCTGATGCTTCAGATCAACTCAGATCTTTTGGGGAATCTGGTATTTCACTGCAGAATACTGACTTTATAGAGTAAGTAACGGCTTTTTTTCACAGTATCATGTATTTTTGTCTGAATGCCTTCCAACTATTTGTGAATGATGACTGCCTGCACAGATTACAGACTCATGTGCTCACAGCATCCCAGATTTGGCAATTTTAACAGATCTATTACATTATGTAGATAAAGCATAGTTCTGAAAGGGAAATTAAAGCTGTTGTCTGACTTCAAAATACAAATGCTTCAAAACCACTTCAAAGACCACTGCAAATTTGACACACATTAATGCCCCAAATTTATTTATTAAGTTTAAAAGTTAAATAAGGATATACTAAAATCTCTAAATAAGATATTCTGATTTGTTTCAGGATTTTAGTGACAGCTGTGTTGAAGTGGTCCAAGATTTTCACCCTAAAGAGCAAAGATCAGATTACTGATCAGCCCTTCAGTTGCTGAGCTGGACTGCTTGAAGCCTCTCATTTAAATTCTCAGCTGAAAATCTGAATTTCAAGAAGGTAATGTACTATAGCCTATTCTTAGAAGGGGAAAAAAATCATTTTTGGAAAGCTTTGCCAAAAAGCAAATCCCCAAACATCAAGCATGCTGCCCTCCAATGGATTTCCATGTCTGGCTCAGCCTGCTCTTTCTAACCTGAAATATGTGAAATACAAGCATAGTGTCCTGTAACTGATGCTTGTTTAGTGAACTGCTGTGTGTACAGCCACAAGAGTATGAGCTAAAGTTCAGGGAAAGAACAGGAAAACACAGCACTTTATGTGCAGGCAGGACTTTAACTCGGTGTAACTTTTAGTGATGTTCAGGATCTTTGTTATTAATGCTAATGATGTTGTAATTGGATTCTAGAACAAATGATTCATTGATTAAAAAAGAAAAAGCACCCCCTACAACTATGCTAAATACGGGGTGGGTTTTTTTCTGTTTGAGTATTAGCATTACACGTACAGCAGCAGCAACAATGCAGTTGAATAAAAGGGTTTACAGGACAAATCTATGCAATATTAAAATAGGTCTTATAGCTTTTTATTTCCTAAAATCTGATCTGGGAAAAGTTGGCCACCACCATCTCAGCAGTCAGAAAACTCAGCAGGACGAACCATCCCACTCTGTGAAGAGAAGGGTAACAGGTGATCTGATCGATCAGCCCGCCGCTCTCTGTGCGGGACGTTTTGGATCTTTAGCAGAAGAAACATCTCCTTAACTTAGTAGAAAAAGACAAAACGTGTCCCAAATACTAGAAACTCAAGCCACATAATCTAATTAGAAATGAAGCTCAATTTTAGACAGCATGGATAATAAACATCAACTCACTCAGAAGCTGGGGGGGGGTCTCTGTGAATTAACTAGGGAAAAAAAAAAAAAAAAAAAGTGGTGCCTTTCAACAGGATAAACTAAACGTCCCGTAACGGTTACAGATCCGAGCCAGGCGAGCGGGGGCTGACGGCTGCCGTGGCACTCCCCGGGGCTCAGCATGAGCAAGTCCCTGGGAAGAGCTGAGCCGCCTGCTCCTGAGGCGGGATAAGGGGAGGCCGGCTCCTGAGGCGGGA